TCCCAGGTAAATATAAATAAATACTATATTCGGCTTCAAATGTACTACCGGTAGTATATATAATAAATACTTCGAAGTACTACGTATTGTGCTTTGCACTTGTTTTGGCGTCGGTTTTACGTGGCTAAAAGAGTGGTACTTCTGCTGTAACTGTGTTACAAAGTTGAATAAATACCTGGTGTTTTAGCTAATTCACTGGAGTTTTATAAATGCCAAATAACTCTGAGCAATAATAATCACATGTGATGCTGAAGTGACCAAAACACCTTGGCTATTAATTCCATCGCGTAGTACACGCTACCTGCTTGTACTATGCGATGGAAGAAGAAGATGACGTGGTTTTCTACGATGTGGCACCATACGTACATCGCTGTACGGTAGAACTCCAGCGCTTGTCCTCGCTGTGTGACATTTGTAGTATCAAAAGTTGTTTATGCTGACCAGTGAATTGTGCAATTTGGTCCCTAGAATAGTAGATATAACTCCGATTTGCACTTTTCAAATGTGCAAAAACGAGGGAGTTGCATAAATGACCTCCCTATAATTACATTCTGTAACGAAACGTAATCGTAAATCACGGTACGGATTATCTGAAACACTGGGGTCGATGTAACAAACACCCAGGTTTATGGTGTGAATAGCCAAAACGAGTGAAAAGCACAATAGTACCAAATGAGAAATATAGCTCGAAAATGACTAGGGTTAAATTAAACAATTCTAATTGGGCAAAAAGATCCATTTCCTTGTTCAAAATATCATCTTATAGCGTTTAACGCATTCTTCGAAGTAGGTTTTATTCATGAGCGTTGCTCTTTTGATCGCCAGGCTTCAAACGTATTTTTTCTCCACGGGTTTACACATGCAGAGAATATTTGAATCTGATTGATGTGTAAATCACGAACGCCTCTCCGTATTGTCGATTTTCTTCAAATTTCCCAATTTTGCATGGTCCGTTCAATCGAGCACAAATAGAGCCGAGACATCTGATTGGCCATTATCCACTTCGCCCTTTCCAGTAGAAACTCGAAAATAGATTGTAGCCAATCAGCGACAAGTAATTTCGGATTGACCAATGAGAGGATTGGTGCTCGATTCGCTCGTCGAGATTCGATTGAACGGGGTCCGGAAATTCATACCAAATCTCCAATATATAAGCAGTTTTACACAGCGAGGACAAGCGCTGGAGTTCTACCGTACAGCGATGTACGTATGGTGCCACATCGTAGAAAACCACGTCATCTTCTTCTTCCATCGCATAGTACAAGCAGGTAGCGTGTACTACGCGATGGAATTAATAGCCAAGGTGTTTTGGTCACTTCAGCATCACATGTGATTATTATTGCTCAGAGTTATTTGGCATTTATAAAACTCCAGTGAATTAGCTAAAACACCAGGTATTTATTCAACTTTGTAACACAGTTACAGCAGAAGTACCACTCTTTTAGCCACGTAAAAACGACGCCAAAACAAGTGCTGGCTAGTGGTCAGTGTGTTGGGTTCGTAACCCTGAGGTCCTGGGATCAATACCTTTTGGAGTCTTTCTTTTTTCCCTGAACCGCTAGTGAATTGTTACTTCGACTTACATCACTGGCAATGACCAAGCCTTACAGCAGGCCCCGAGCGCCCGGGAGGCCGTCTGCGTGCGGATATAAACCTCTCATTTCACCGAATGATCTATCTATTCCTCCTGTCGGGAAAAGCGGCAGGTAGGCCGTAAGGCCGTGCCGCTCCCAGACAAGGCTTGTTCAACGACGAAGTACGTTTACTTGGTGTTGGTATGTGAAGTGGTTTCCTGGTCTTACTGGCACGCCTGTATTATGCTGAACTCATTTAGGCTCAATTAGGTCAGTATTTCCGGTTACTGTTCGGATAAGCCCATGAGGCAGAGCCTGATGAGGCAATTTGTCACATCCCGTATTATTCTGTATTTATATTACGATTTGTATTGACCGTGCTGGATCCAAACAGACCCCTAATATTAATAGTACTTGTATATGGTAGTATTGTGAAGTCGATTCGAAATTGGAGTGGGGTGCATAATCGAATGATCAGCACCAAATGGCAGACAACCGATCGACCGATCAAAACCCAGAACACGAATCAAGTGGTCAATCAAATCCACTCTTGCACCATTTCAACATTGAATTAGTGTGTGAATGAAATTAGTGTGACACTAGACGATTTTTACAACGATCGACGGATTTGGCGAATCAGCCCAAACGTCCAAATTTTGCGTGAAAGGACGTATTGTGCTTTTCACATATTTTGGCTAATCTGGGTATAAATACCCTCTTTTAACCAGTGGGTGACGAAGTTTTAGATTAATTCAACTTAGTTTTAGCTAATCGGAAGTACCTTTGATTGGATGAGCAAAAGCTGTTCCTGCAGCATATGTTGCTAACCTGAAGCGTTTGCCCATTTCATTTCGGCAAACGCGGGGGTTTACAGAGTGGATTACCTAATACACGCGAGTGTGATTCTAAAGGTTGATGTTGAGTGCTTCTTGCTCGACTTTTCGTGCCAACGAGTTGCTAACAAGCTGGCTGCAAAGCTCGTGTGAGCTGGTGCACTGCGAGCTTACCCCAGTAGG